TTCAAATAATGACATGGCTAATACTATCATCGTAAAGTGATCATGAAGTTATAGATACATATTTATCCTACAGTACATCTCCACAAAACCGAACATATAGAGACATTCGTAACTATTTCAAGGAAAACCATATTGATGCGCGTAGTAGGGAAGTGGGGACCGGACGTACCGAGTGGCTCACAAGGAGTTTGTGTTTTTAGTTTTACTTTTATTTTACTATGGCATGACGTAGGGCATAGATAGGCGAATGTAGTCCTCTGTGCTGTCAGTGGAGACGTTCATCGATTTGAACAATACCGATCGGTGTAGTGGAGACACACCTTTAGAATCAGTTTACAAAGGAATCCGTGTACCCGCCGGGTATAAATTTCAAGTCTCTACTGTTGGTATGTAAAGTCGTTCAGGATTTGAAACATTTAAAATAAAATAAAAGGGGCTTTGTTTGGATCCAAGCCCTTTAAATATCCAATATGAAAAGGTCTTGTTTTGAAAACTAAATATTTTTTTACACTTTATTCATTCGCCTTTAATTTTTAAATTTCTTAAAAGGTAATAACGCACACAGATTACAATAAAATAGCATAATATACTATAACATAAATAAATATAGTACTTGGATGTTCTATTATGAATATATATCGTCTGAGAATCAATTTCCTTTTTTAGTACAGTAACAAAGGTATTACCTTTATTATAGGTTCACTATCTGAAATTAATCCTGTGATGCTATATAATATTCTAATCCCATTTCAACATTGTTCGAGGCCGTAATGAGCACATAGCGTGATCAGCTTTCATACTACAAGCTAGTTTTTATTTCATTTTTGATAGGATGCCGTGTGAAATTTTCTCATTGTAGGTGTCGTGAATTTTACCAAATATATGAATATGTAACAGCTAAAACGAAAATCGTGATAATTGAGAAATGCATTGCATTATGGTAAAAAATGGTTTTTCAAATAAATCAGTCTTTTGACTGCATAAAAAGCGACCCTATTTACATTTTGTATTCGTTTCATATTTTCGACAGATGTTTCACAAATTTCGGACATACATTTAAAAAAGTAACAAATACCTTCGAAATTTTATATTTCCATTGAAATGACAAAAAATATCTCAACGTAAGAAAGTTGTAGAGCCCGAAAAATTAAACTTAACATTTCTCACATTTTCGATAATTGTATATCATTCTCATATTACAAGTTCTAAAGTTACATCAGATATATATACATTTTGTTACATATAACTACAATTGTTATTTCATTTTATTTACGGAATTATTCACGTAACGTGCGTAATTCTTCTCCGCCAAATTAATTTAAATGCGCGTGTGAAAAGAGTAAAGAGTCAGAACAATTTACCAATTCAATGAAGGTTCATTTTCATGATGTATAAGCATTCATGCGTGAAACCTTAATGTCTGCTTTTATACTCGATGAAGCATAAAGTGCACTATAGAATTCAAATGAATCAAAATCGATTGATACTTGTAAATATATAATAAAATATTACATTATTTCAAATTGCATTATTTATAACATCATCCACCAATCATAAAACTAAGTAATGTAATATATTTTTTACATAACTAAAATAAGTACACGTGATTTCTGTATTAACTCTTCTATTGTTAAAACAATTTAAATTTCCCTAATGTTCACATGGTTTGTCGCGCTTAAAATTCTTCTGATTGAAAAATGTTCACTTCTCTAGATTGCCTATTTTATTGTAATAAAGATATATAGAATGTACATAATACACAAAACTATACACATAAAGAATTCAAAGTACCTGTTATAATATTTATCGGATTAAGTAAATCACTTCTTAATACCTATTTCTTTGTTCATAGCCCTAAAAATGTGAATCTGTATAGACGCATTACGCAAATATTTCTATCCATTTTTTAATATTTAGAAGATACCATTTTCATCTAGGATGCAACTTATTTACCTTTCGTTAAAATTTATTCCAAAATCCCTTAGAAATATGAACAAATTCTTTTCTGTTAGTTCTATAAAAATTTATTAATTAAATGAGATTCTACAAAGTTTTTGTCAAAATTAGCTACGGTATAGACATGTTACATCCATTGCATTTGAAACATATATATTTATAGCATTCCTGCTTTCTTATGTATTTTAAAGGGTGTTATCTAGAGTTTCAGCAAAAGGTTCTACCCCTTAACTTCATTTTCTCCGATGTTCGTATATAAACTTGAAAATATAAATCATGTTATACTACCTCAAACGAGCAAAAATCTACCAACTAGAATATTGTTATTATTATTACTGTGGCGACACAGATCGTCAGAGCTAAATCGAATGTTGTCGCTAACAGGATCGACTATAACAATATTTTATCTTTAGTAGAGTACAAGGAGAAGCTAAAGAACAGAGAACCATATCATGCAGACTACAAAAAAGCAGTAAAGTATGTGAATTAAAAATAAGATGGCTCAGTACAAAAAATATAGTAATTATGAAATTATGTTTTGATACATATATATCCATACTCATAATTATATATTATAGAAATTTAACAATGTAATTATATGTTTCATACAATAAATAAGAATATATGCTAGATAAATTTTATAACTCGATAATTCATTATATATATTCATTATACTACATCATTCGTTACCAATGATCCAAATGGATTGTACAACAAATAAAATTTAAATAAGAAGAACCTATCGAGAATTTTTATAGACGTTGAGGTTTCATTAATTAAAATGTGAAGATATACTTACATATATTTATATGTCCACAATTAATGAAATCTACTTTGAACATATTTAGTCAAGGATTAATCCAATATATGCGTTAAATGAAAACACTTCATTTCACATTTTGTATATATTTTCTCATGCAGAATAACATTTTACCGATTATCTGTTCTTCTGCAGTCTGGAATTGCTCACCTTAAACAAGTTTTCAAACCCGATTTTAGCACAGATGAAGCCTCCTACACAAATAACTTGCTTTTATGTGAAGAAAATATAAAAATAAATTATTACAAAGATTCTTTTATATAAAAGTATTTCATCATCGTTGTAATTGAAAAATAGGTAAAATAACTTATTAAAGTAGCTTCTTACTCGCGGAACATTCTTTAAATTGTATAATTAATATTGTTGAAAATGACAACGTGAGTTCGTGCTCGCCATTCATATGCAGATGCGTTAGTTATAAGAAATAGTGACTAGAGGATAATCCTAGTTACAATCGATAGATTTAATCGATAGGCTTAAGATGCCTTTTTGTTTTGTTTTTTTTTTTTTTTTTTGAGCCAGAACGGTGTGATAGATTTATCCATTCAATAAAATAATAACTATTCTGATCTTACCCCTGAGTATAGAAATAACAACAAATATAATAGTTAGTAGGTATACCATAGAATTTTGCATATTCCGCGTCAGTAATAAATATTTCAAATCGTTATAATTCTGATTGTAGATGTTACGTTGTTTTATCGAATTGTTTTAATAAATGTTATATACATATAATACTTACCACGTTTGGTTTTTAACGCACAATAGTCGTAAATAACTTGAATAACTATTCACAATAAAAAGCAATAATGTAACTTTTGATAAAAATTTTAATATACAGAGATTTTAATACCGGTAAATTATATTTTTTCTGAATAATTACAAACCATTAACTTATTTAGGAATAACAAAACTTGCTCACATGCACAGCAGCAATCTTTAGTTTTTATATACATTCTTCAATATAGTTTTCATTATATTATATTTATCAACATTTTTTAATTTTATATAAACGTCCTCATTCATTTCTTAAATGTTTAAAAAGTTAATAGTGATATTTATTTGTGAAATATGTTAATAGTACTTATCGATACCCAAAATTAGAATAAAGGAGAAAAATTAAAAAATTGCAATTTTTGATAAGCATAAATAAGCATTTTATAATGCGCAAATATTTAAAAAACCGGTGCTTATTGGTTTTACATTGTTAAAATAACATTAAAAAAGACTTGATTAATAGAAAATGCATCGTCACAATTTAATATACAATGCATAACAAGTAAGGACGTAAAAATAAAATGCACATATTTAACTTACAACATTGCGTATTAATTTTATACGTACTTATTTCCGATACGCATTTATTTTATAATTCAACGAATTAAAACATTATCATATTTTGTCAAATCTTAATTAATACGAAATATACTTAATGTAAATATATTCGAAAAAGCCTTAAAATATAAAAATTACACCATTTACTAATATCATATTCTGTAAATATTTTTTATATTATGCTTAAAAGGTATTGGAACGAGATGCGCTATTTATACATTATATGAGAATATTTGCTATCGAGTGTAGCTAAATTGCAATTAGGTCGTAACTATTATTTCAAATACGACAGCACCTTCCAACATATCCGCAAAGTCTAAATATAAATTATATGACACATATGGACAGAAATTTTAAAAACATTACAGAATTATGAAACAGCAAACGAAGAACCTAAGGATATTTGGAATAATATAGGAACAAAATAGGCAAAAAAATTAGTTGATATACTAGATTGTCTGAAATGTGTTATTAAATGCAAAGTCTGCCTGATAAAATATTAATTTTTATATGTGGATTATATTTCTAAGACTAATTCTGAAAGTAGGAGTACTTCTATGTCATTAATTATTTGAAATTTTTACTTATATCCCTGTTTTCGTTACACTGAATTTTTATATTACGATAATGTTTATATCTGTTGAAAGCTCAATTATCAATCATTTAATAATTGGGCGATCGGGAGTACAAATATTTCTACTTTTGTAATTCACTTCATTTATGAATTGAACAAATATTCAATCTTTAATATCTTTTGTATAAAATTTATTATAAATTCGACATCATTATCAGTCATCCATTATTTATGTATTATTATAAAATTATTCCTGTAGCATATTTATGTTGTAAAATAATTACATATAGATCTTGTTTAATACTTTGTTTTCAGGAGAAAAATACAATCAAACTTTCTCATATAATGAGTATAAAGTACACATGAAACTTACGATATCATCGGTGGAAATGTCCGATTATGGAACATACAAATGCATATCAAAGAATTCTCTAGGGGAAACAGATGGCAGTATTAAGCTGTATCGTAAGTATATCTTTCACATTATATTTATCCTTTAATAGCAAAAATGTACACTTCACGTTATTAAAAAAAAGACAGCAAGTACATTAGTATCAAATTACATCAAATATGTATTACAAATAATAATACAATAGTATATAAAATACACTAAATACTTTATAAATAATTTGAAAAAATAAATTTTTAAGATATAAGAAAAATATCGTTTATTATAGTACTAGAAATATCTTAATATCTTCAAATGTTGTAAAATCGTAAAGTTCAAGTGAAAAGACTAACGAAACTGAAATATTGCGCTGACGTGACATTAAACTTAAAGAGATTAAGCAACTTGAGTAACATGACTTGAGCTATACAAATATTAGAAAATATTGAAAAAGTCTTTTACTAATTCTATAAAACAGTGATAACGTGTATACGCAATGAATGGACAAGAAGACGATAATGAAGTAAGTAATGAATAAAGTAATTATTGAAATCGTCACGATTCTTTTGATAAAAGGTGAGTGAATTGAACGGTATTCACACAGTGTGCTTTTAATAAATGAGTTGACGCGCGACCACCTGGTGCCAGCAACAACGCTGCAGTTTCAACAAAATGCACGTCGCAGAATATAGATTAAACGAGAAATATCTTTCTCAGTTGGTTTGTTCATTCTTAAAATACGATTTAATTAATTCATCGCACATTCTCTGCTTTACGTATGTAATTATAATTATAGATTTATAAGGCAAGTTTAAAAAAGGAAACAAGATTCCAATAACAAAGAATCAGTCGGTGATAAGACAATAAAACGATGCGAATTAAGAATCTTCATGTCATGATTCTATTTGAAATTATAATTATTTCGCGAGAAAAGCGAATTTAAGTATAAGCTTTTCATTTAACTTTGTCTAAAGCGCGTATTATCTATTAATGATAATATAACAAATATTTGTTTATTCCTCTGTAAAATTATATTTCATTTAAAAAAACAATAATTAATATTACTATTCCATTAAATTACGAATTTAATGTAAAAAATGTGCGAAGGTTACTATTACGCTACTAACTTTTGGACAAAAGCTTACGTCAAAGAAAAATAAATAATTCATTTTAGATACTCTCAGAATATCTAGGTACATGAGAATGAAATCTTTATATCAGTCTACAAAAGCGTTTGCAAGATTGCCATGTTGGCCGTTATAGAAGAAATACCTTCATCTAACGACCATATTCTAGTATCGATCCGAACTTTTCCTTGGTTAATAGGTTTCGCAAAGAAAGACCTTGGTCGTAACAGGTTTTCTTAAATCGAGAATTCTAGCTCGTTATTGTTCTTACTATTATTTACGTTACTGACGACCATTTTCGCGAAATTGAAGTCTAATTTTTAAGGCAGCCGCTCTTCTCTCTGTACGATTCTCAATATGTATGTATTTAATTGGTGAAACTGCTTTGTTTAGGGCACCCATCTCCAATGATTTTAATTTTCATATATGTTATTAAAGTCACCCTCCTGAGTGACTATTACCGTGTACTTTCCAGTACAATGGAAAATAGCAGAAATAATATTAATATTAAAACCTGGAAAAAATTCTGATGCAGTGAAAGATTTATCAGCAGTCAAATAAATTCTGTTACGGTTGAAAAACAGTTAGTACTTGAATACCAACTTGAACTTAAATGCAAATACGAAACAACTTAACAAATATATCATTTAGTCCGAAAAATAAATCAATCATTTAAAGAAAAAAGTACTACTTTACGGATTTCATCGATACTTCGCAAGCCTATGATAAAGAGTAACACGAAGGCTTATTATAACAATCAAAAAATGTGTACCATTTAATCTATATAGAGTATTAAAATTTTATCTGAAATATAGATTCTTTACAGTGAGGTATAAGGAAGTACAGGCAGATGTAGTACCTATCAATTTTGGAGCATTACAAGGGAGTGTGCTTGGCCCAATGCAGTATATTTTACATGCCGCAGATATGCCAATTTCCCAAGATTGCCGCACAGTTATCTTCGCAAATGATACGGCAATCATCCACGCATGTAGATCTACAGAATGCATCAGACAATTCAGAGAACAGCTTAAATAATATTTAAGAATGGTTACAAAAATGGAAAATTAGAGCCAATGCAAACAAGTCAATCTATGTAGCTTTTATTGAGAGGAAGTGTATGCGTCACCTAATTACGTTAAGTAGAAAAATAATGCCTCCAGCAGACTGTGCCAAATACTTTCGTATGCATTTAAACCGTAAATTCAACTAGAGAAAGCATATCTGACAAAAAAGGAAATCTAAATCAGCTTCATTTTAATCAACTTATATTTCAACTTCAAAACAAAAATGAATAAATGTATATTAAATTCATATGGACACATAGCATAAAACTGTGGGGTTTAGCGTCCACTTCAAATGTTGAAATTTTGGAACGATTTCAATAAAAAATCTTACGAATATACACGAATACATCACGTTCAAAAACATTTACAGAAACTATTCCACCATATCAGTATACTTACCAAACAACTACTTGAAGAGATATCAAACCGACGAGGATACAAGCTCTTCAATAATTCGGACATAAAAGATAGATTCTAAACAATTTCGTGTAAAACGTACCATGAATTAAATTACAGAAAATAAAATAAATTACAAATCAATGAGTACATTATTTACAAATTGCACAAAATTGTACCTTATGTAATGATATTTGCCTATTGTTATCTTTTTTATAACTGGTTGCAGATAAATAAGGAGTAAAAGAAATATTTTTCCTCTTAGAAATGAACGGATGTATAAACATTAGTGGCTGATCTTTCTCTCTTGAAATAATTTTTCACTTCTACAGGAGAAACGATTATTGTTTTTCATACTTTACGTTCTACTCGACATATGTATACATAAAATTTCATTAAAATCGAACTTCTGTTATCATTGTAAATTTTGTCATGGAGAACATGCAATTCTTAGAGTTCACCAAGTCCATAAATGACCTTGTATGTTCATCTCTTGTTTAAATATGTTTAGATTGCTATTTTATATGACATATATGTATAATAAATATATATATATGCATACAATTAATATCCAATTATTTTGTATCCAATTAATATAAACTGCACAAATTAAGTTTCACGATCATGTTCAATATTATTTAATACATTTAGCAGAAATTTTCGGATAGATATCAGAAAGCAATTTATCGTTTCGATAAAGTGTGAGCCTTTCTGTCCTGAAAATCGTATTTCCTGGAAAGTGGTGCGAGCCGTAAATCACCGATAACAGCCACTGTCACTCTGTTTTCTGACAAAAAGAATCCACGGCTATCTATTGAACTGTAATTGTAGGTTTTCTGGTTGGTCTACTCGTAGGTGGTACTTCTTAACTTCGTGCTTTAATCAGTCACCGACTCGATACATTACAACGAAATCAATTGAATAACTCTTCACTTGCGGTGATCGCGATTTAATACATATTTGCATTTTAAATTTTCCTTCCGATAGGTTGTCAGAGAAAACAAAAACCGAGTTAACCAATTTATGGAATTGGATAATAACTTTCTTAATGGCTACGAGAACCCGGCATAGAAGACCTTTCTGTAATCGATACTTTCATGCAATTTTCATGACGGCTCATATCGGGTGTCTCGCAAAATTCAGACAAGCTGTATTTTTACAATTAGATTAGACAAATGAAATGACATGAAATAAAATTAATCTTTTAACACATCTAGAGAGTACGATTTCTTTTGTTTTCTATACAAATCTAAAACCAATTAATACACTTATTTTTCAAAATTATTGATTTAAAAGTTATTCCAATTTTAAACTAGATTTCCTTTAGTTATAGAATTAAAATTAATAAAGTATCTAAATCTATTTCAATTTGATAGAAATAAGGCGGGTAGGGCGCATTAACACAGCTGATTCTTAGACAAATAGATTATTACATCCAAATTGTTAACAGTATAGGTAATAAGTTAACTCGTCTTTTTTCAAATTTAAATCTTTGGTTATTTTCTTGTTGTAGAGTACATATAGTATGAAGGATATTCAAATAATTCTTTATTATTCTTCATTTTCCGTCTTAACCGTTTTTGATACATGAATGAACTCTCTACCTAAAATTTTTTTAAGTTTCAAATGATTTGGATATTGCTAATTCAATGAAAATACGTATTACCTCTTAAAATTCATTATAAAAGAAAATTAGTACCCAGTTTGATAGTCACTATAGCAAAGAATATTACATTAGCGTTATTTAGACGCACTAATACATAAAAAAGCGTAAAATTAATATACATATGAACAATATCTCGTACTATTCAATTTTGTTTTATAAGATGTTTTTACATATTTTTTGATACATTCTTTTATAATTCAGAATAGAAGTGTCATAATTTTTTCTAGTGCATGTACAAAGATTACACCTATTATAATGCAATTCCTATAATAAAGAATCATTATAACCTTTAGCCCATAAATCGTATTTGTTATAAAAATATTTATCGTTAGTATTAGACTATTTAAACCATTTATATATTACAGTTTGTCACAATTAGTTATATAATATTTAACGAGCTCGGAGTTAATATGAATAAATGTATAACTTAACTGAAATATTTGTAATGATAGTAATGATGTTTATAATAATAATAATAATAATAATAATAATAATAATAATAATAATAATAATAATAATAATAATAATAATAATCATGATACTACTTAAAATAATAGTGATAATCTTAGTACCTATGCAATAACAATCAATTATATGAATGTAAATTTAAACTCAAATTGCATAAATTTTATTCAAAATTATGTATTTTGCAGATATTCCAACACCAACGACACAGCCGAGAATTACAACTACTACTCCAACCTCTACTAGTGAAGAAGGTAAGTGTATAAGGTGCACTAACAGAAATTTATAGTTACAATTAGAAGCTTTCGAAATTCATTACCGTACTTACCTACATTATACGATAGCATTACAAAAGATGATAAGGAATTTATAGTACGTAATTTCGTAAATTGTGCAGAATATATCAAAATGAAAATGAATGTAACGGAAATTCAATTACGTTTAATTTGTAGTTGAAAATATTCAAAATTCTCGACAAAGGCCAGAACCGAGTGTAGAACCTAGTCCACACCAAATAACTGATTCGTCGTTGCCTAACATCGGTAGAACCGATGGTAAGTAGTTTATTGTATTCCTTACAACAATTCATAAATTCTAAATATTCGAATTTTGGTTTCTATTGTAATACACAATTAAAATACGACAAAAATATCAAATTGATTGACCTTCTAAATTGAAACATTTTATGTTACAATACAAATTATTTTGGATCTTCTAACGTAATATGTATTAAATGTCCTCCAGCTGGACTACTTAATAAATTTATTATTATTATTACATAATATATTGTTAATACACAAAGTGTTAATACAGGATATAATGAATAAGATATTTAATAGTGACATTTCTGATTGTAATAGTATAGGGCATGTATCGAAAATGGTAGTACAAGCCAAAAGAGAACGATTCCCCCTTCCAAAATAAGTGGAAAATATGGAGTAATAATTTTTGATACAATGAACAAATTTTTCGAGAAGATCAGCTATGAAGTTTTGCCAATTACACGTGCATTTGACACTTACGTGCATTACACTTAGATACTCTGTTTATGTTTGTAAACGTCATGATTGTGTATACTTTGAATTACTATATTAACAATAAGTTCCAATATTACATTTATTTAGTTAAACTACAGATTAATTCAAGGCGTTGATCGACGGATTATAGAAGCATGAAAACCTGAAATATTTCAAAGTTTCACTTCTTCAAACGCGTGTATGATGCACTATGATTATCACTACTGAATTATGCTTCAATTTACCTATGTTTTCTTTATTTTCAGCATAAATTAACTCCTTAATGTAATCCCATAAATTAAAATGGAGTGGAATTAAATCTGGCGATCTTGAAGCTTCTCTTACTGCACCTCCACCTCCAATCCAAAAGTTGTGTTGCCTGTTTAATACATTCCCAACTTTCCTAGTAAAATGTGGCGGAGCTTCGTCGTGCTGAAAAATTATTTAAGCGTGATAGGCAGAGATATTTCTTCCAACAACTCTGACAAACTGACTCTTATTATTTCTCAAGTGCACGCGTTCCTGATGAAACTTCATAGTAGATTTCCTCGAAAATAAAGTCTTGTATCAAATATTATCATTCTACCTTCTTTACTTACTTTTCACAGGAAATCACTTCTTTTCGGCTTATACCACTATTTTCGATTATGTAATAAAACTCTAATACTATAACGAATATCAAATATATCATACTTATATTTGCATGTGTTATTAAATGAATAGTTTGTAAGTATCAAGCCCATTCCAAATACAATGAGAATTATCTATGACGTATTTAACATAAATTGAAAGAAAACATGAAGATATTTCAGTATTACATTCTATAATAATTTCATTAATGTATTATAACTTGAGAGAATTAAAAATTAATAACATTCTATAAATCAGTATGTAATTATTAACTGTTAAATTGCATTTCCAAATGGTTAAATAATACGTCTATTAAATTGAATAATATAATAATAAGAATAATAAAAAGTTTTGCTATAATTTTTCGCCAGATAATATTGTTCGGATTTTCTTTTCGTTAAAAACACGAAACTGCCATGTTTTATCTTGTTTCTATATTAAATGTTTTTAGATATTATTTTCAACAATTCTAGTTTTCGTTTCATCGTTACCATTGTAAATTCTAGTAACAGTTTCGGCATTGTCGAAACAAGTTTGAATATTCAAAAGCATGCAGTGGCGCTTATATGCCGTGAAACTTTCTAAATAAAAATCGAATTAAACTCGTATCCTATAGTATAGTAATAGTACAGTTAGATTCTAACAACATGCAATGTACTTCCTAAACTTCATACGACCGTTCCTTTTTCTTTCAATCGTGAACATGCAAATCTATCTCTGAAATTAACATAAAAGTAATCGAGTAATATTATCGCGCTGGAACTTTTCTACTTTGACAAGTTTCATCGAAGGGAAACCGTGTGAAATAAACTGAAGCTGTAAAGTCGCGTGATTTAACATCTCTTTCACTTGTAATCCTTCGCTTCTTCTTGTTACAGGATTTAATTATAGAATTTGATCAGGAAGCGGAAGGTAAATGAAAAGTAGAAACGGCAGGCGTATTTTCTCGTAAATACGTTATCCCCCTTAGAAATTCCGCGCGAATTTCCTTTTAAATCATCACCTCGGCGTAATGCGCGAACTTACGCACAGCAGGGTGAGAAACTTTTTGAAGGGAAAGTTCGAGAGAAGGCGTGAAATTTACCCGCGAACTTTCAGTAACGCCATAGATCTTCTCCAAGGCGACAAACGCTGCGCTCTCAACGGGATTTTGATGAAATCCCACGCGGTTTATGAACTACCATGTCGAGCCGCGTCGCCTCAACTATGGAAAGTAATCTGATCTTTCGCTTGTGAAAGTTCCTCGCAGCTTTCCCTAGCGTTTCGCGTTTCTTCGATTGTAATCTATCGTTCAATGTGAACTTAAAAGTTTATGGTACTGGCAAACCTTTAATCCACTATTATTCCACTTTTATGCACTTTCTTTAAACGATTCCCAAACCATGTTCTATCCAGGCTTACGGTCTCATTCACGGAATTCCTTGTTTCGACAGAGATCAAAAATCGATCTCTCGGCGTTAGTAGATTCTTAATCAGTTTGTAAAATAAAGGATTGACAAACCTTGTTGAATCTTATTGATAAATGTTATTAAGAAACTTTTACAACATTCCAGAAAAAGGTTATAGATGTCGGAACAGCATAACACAATATTCTGTCACATTCTGAGTAATCGACTAGGATGTATCATGTATGAAACCATATTTTTCAATCAAAAAACTAAAAAATGCATCGACTTGATGTAAGAATTTGTAAACTATTCATATGTAACTATATAATTCTTCTTATTTTTCGAATGAACGAAGATTATTATATTAAGAAACGATACTTTGTTTCAACGGTTGCTGTTTGACAATTATAAAAATTGTTTTAATTTCTATCATTCGTACCATTAAACGCTTCCTACAAACGATAACAAAGGCTTATTCTGTATTCTAGATCGATTTATGCAAAATCATTTTTATGACGTAGTAAAAAAATATTGTTTTCACAAAGTCAAGTGAAACTTCCCTTCTTGTGTACACGAATTATATACAGGGTGGTTGTTAACTGGTGGTACAAGCGGAAAGGGGGTGATTCTACGCAAAAAAAGTAGTCGAAAATATAGAATAAAAATTTTTCGTTTGAGACTTTGTTTTCGAAAAAATCGACTTTGAATTTTCACTCGATACGCATGCACTTTATCACGTCTCGTTATAACGGATCTCACAGTAGATCGTTGTCTCGATGGTAAAATTAAAAAAAAAAATTTAAAAAAATTTTTTATTCTATATTTCCGACTTCTTTTTTCGCGTAGAATCACCCCCTTTCCGCTTGTACCACCAGCTAACAACCACCCTGTATATAATTCGTGTTATAAATATATTTAAAAAAATATATATATACACTATACAGAAGAAGATAATTTTACTAGTAGAAGAATATCGTAATAAATATGAAAATAGATTCTATGAATATTTATTATTCTCCATGAAAAAATTGTTTAAAACTGCACTCAGATCAATTTTCACATTATTATGCAGATAATTATGAAACAGCTTTCGCCATTATTATCTTTATTTCTAAAATTTATAATCTAAATTTTAATTTCTCAAATTAATAGGAACAACTAATTTACATTCGTAAGTATTACACAAACTGAATTTAAAAAAAAGTATTCTATTAACATACCGATGTTCCTTTTCAATATTTAACAGTATACGTTCCCATTTATTAAAATTCACAACACGTTTGTAGTTAAACTTGCAAAGAAGAACTACTGAAAAATAAGCAAGGCAGATGAACTTGTAGGGAGAACTATAATTAGAAAAGTAAAATGTTACAACCCAGCTAATTATGTATAAATGTGAAACGTAGATATGAGTAATTTAATATATTTACTTACAACAAAACGCAGGCACTTAAAAATACAGTTAATTTTAATTTACACCTGCTCTAATACTTTTTTACGTAGCACATTGGAACAAATAATACTTTTCTTAATGCTCTTAATGTCTTTGTTTGATTATTTAAAATCGGTACAGGAACATGAAATAGTATGGTATTATCATCATTATTGAATTGTCTTCTTAATTTGGCACAATCATCGCTATTCTTTGTAGACTTTATAAACTCAGAGGATTGAATAACAATAAAATAAATTCAAACTTAAAATAAAAGCACGAAATTAGAATACACGAAAAGTATCTATAAATTTTGTATTAAACTGGCATTACTTTAGTCTAACGAAAAAATATTAAAATGCAGACAGCAAATGGCATGCATAAAATATAAAAGTACGCAGTAAAGGAAAAAGGAACAACGAGAAAAGACGAATAATAAGTAATGCCTTTGGCGTTCTATCAAAGACTATGTTTTTACATGCATTATTCTCATTAGAATGTATGATTTTTACCTTCTCTACCATATTGAAAGCTCGTTATTGATAAAATATTGTTATAGTTTCAAGTATTAATAACGAATGCCAAATTATTAAACATATTATTCATCTTTTATCTAATATTGGAAATCATTACTTTGCCATAATGGACATTAAAAGGATATATATTATATACATATATTTCATGCATATATTGTACATGTATAAATGTATAAATATGTATAAATATATATATATACATACATATATACATATGTAAAAGCATGAATATATTAAAACATACAAAATATAACTATCGACGAATGATCAGGTATAGATGAATTCGATAAAAAACAATTTTATCAGAATTTCTAATATATCAATCACTTTTTCTCAGATATACGGCTTCATGGTAGGGCGAACAGCGGTAGCTATAACGATGGTGAAAACGCTGTAGTAACAAAAGGACGAAAAAGCATCGACGGCGAGGTACGACCACGAAGAATCGACAACACGGCACAATCGATGTCATCCAGGGGTTCTAGTTTGAATTTTCTGGTACAATCTACAGCGGCCATCTGCATAATCCTACTATCTGCCCTGTCGTAGTCATGTCAGTGTCTACCAGCGAAAAGAACGGTTATTCGACGAAAATCCTTCGGGGATCAAGATTCGTCCTGTTCATCGTCATTTATCTCATCCGCGAAAGGGATCAATTAATGGGTGTGCTTCGATGCCGCAAATTTATCGACAACTATTGCCTTTGTCGTCGTTGTGACTGAAATCAACGAAACAGTTTTTCTTGCTGCAAACTTTGCACTAAAGTTTGCAAATTAGGCCATTAATGGAATTTCTAGTAATACCACTGACGAGATACAGCGCCTCGTCGGTGATAATACATTTGAATACTTGTACCAGATATTCGGCAATGTGATTACACCTTTGCGTATTCGCAGAAGTTCGTAGACTCTAGCTGTAACTAACAAATTGTACAATTCACTTAGTAATCTGCTCGTTACACGTAATTCATATGTGAATAACCATTTTAAGTTTTTTGAAAATTTAGATTATAATTTAAGTTCAATAGCTATTTTTTTTCCTAGCTATTCTTAGTTATTCTTGTTAGAAATACAGATGTTATTCTGTGTCCAAGATTATATATATATATATATATATATATATATATATATTAATTATTGTATATATATATATGTATATATACAATATATATATATATATACAATAATTAGTTTATATTCAATTTTCTTTCCATTGTAATCTATGTTATTTTAGTAATAGAACAATTAATTTTATTTGTAGATCTCGTTTATTTGTAACGCATATTAGCTTGATTACACTCAACCTTCGTAAATGAACGAATTTATAAATATGGAGTGTTTTATATGCTTTACAGCAAAAAGAAATTGTTTTCTCCAGAAATCAGCAGTAACCATAACGCTAAATCTATTGAATTTGCTAATATGATCAATAGAAGACAGTATAAACATATTGTTGTAAATGTAGTTGAATACAAACTTTTATATAAAATTTATGTACATTAATACTCACTTTGACGTATTAGTATTTGTTAAAAAATGGCTACCAAGAAACATTAACATTAATATTCAATAATATTCATATTTTCATTCCTCTTATTCGATAAAGAAATCATAATTACTGTTATTGACATTTTATCTGTTCGATCAATAAGCATCGTTGGCTTTTGAACAATTATATATACAGAATACAACTCATTTATTTTAAATTATTTAAAACATTAATTATTATAAAAGCATATCGTTTGCAATATACTTTTATACAGTAGAGCCGCGTTAATTGAATGCGATACGGATTCAATGACTTGTTAGAATCAATGAATCCATAGAAAGTGTTTAGAAATCCGAATGAATAAAAGAAATTATTGTTGATCGATGATTTGTCGCTTCGAAGTGATAAATTGAAAAGTGTAAGTAAGTAAAATCTTTCTAATTGCTACTTTCTTGAATCAATTGAAGGAGTAGAGATATCTGCTGTCAAATTAACGAATCCGTCCAGGACGTGCAATTATCACGGCCCTATTGTAAATCAGCTTTAATATACTGCTGGCATGTCATGTTCTTTCACTCATACATATACTCGTATTGAGCTTGAGCAATATTTAGGTAAAATATTTGAAAAATAATTATTTTAGTATCACCCTATTTGATTAGATGCTGTTTCTTATGCTTACTAGTATATATTTCCCCTTAACTTTTAATATAAGCAAATGTTCTTCCTCCAAATTATTTGATTACTTATTAAATGAAATAGATATTTATTTCTTTTCATATGTTGCATTCGAGTACATATTTCGTGAAATAATATCCGAAATAATTTCCGACTTTATTATATCGATATTATCAACTATGTCAGAAATACTGATATTTTTCATAGTATCTCATGTGCGTATTATTTAAAAATAACTGGAGTTGAAACAATTCCATAACAAATATATAACAAATGTTGCGTTTGTAAAATAATATTCAGCTGTATTATTTATAACTTAAATATATACACGATAGAATATTTGAAATTGGAAGAATCGAGATATTGTACAGATAATTACGATATATCTGAAATGAAAATAACAAAGTAAATGAAATGATTCCTTGTTTACAAATTTTTTATTTTTATTTTGAATAAAATTTGCTCGACTCGGACTTGTATATGTTTCATAGTATCGAATAATTTATACTGTACAATGTTAGTTCTGCGGCAACAATCATGTAGTTGTTACACTTGCACTTCGCGTCAACGTTTCGTGAACATTGCAGTTTACTTCTTCAGGGTAGTCCTAAAACTAAGGCTTCCAATTTATTAATTTTTAATTATTTATTGATTTTTAATTATTTATTGATTTTTAATTATTTATTAATTTTTATTTATTTATTAATTTTTAATTATTTATTAATTTTTAAGGGTTCTTCATTTATACAGAGCGATGTTCCGATTGACTGACCAAACAGATGATTCAACTCGAAAATTCCATTCGGATACTCACTTCGTAAAATCTAACCGGAAGTCGTTAAATTTGATTGACCACTCGGCTATACGTTGTAGCCGCTGTGTCCCTGTACAAATTGTTAGAATTTTTCAAAATTTCGGTTGCTTAGCGGTTCTTTCTGGAGAAGTATGCAGATATTTTTGCGATGACCGTTGCTTTTTTGAATCATATGGCATGACCTGTCTCGAAATAATATGATGCTGGCTAATCGACAAAAATGTTTCAAGCGAATTTTGCTTCCGTGTTCTGTCAATGTAAACGGTTGTGCTTAGTTGAACTCATTATCGGTATAAATGGAAATAACGCTTACAACCCTTAGTTTCAAGTCTGTCCTGAAGAAGTAAACGACAATGTCTATGAAACGTTGACGTGAAATATAAGTGCAAAGTGCAAGTGCAACAACTACGATTGTTCCCGAAAAATGTACATCGTGACATGTCACCATCGTGAAATCTAAATCTTACTCTTCAGTTTAATTTAATGACTGAATATATCAATTCATGATGAAAAGAACAGAATTAAAATGCAATTCATAAATATGATTCTGAATATTTTATACAACGAAAATCCAATAAATTAATTTGTTTCAAGATTTTGTATAAATCTCATTTATAGCATAGAAAGGTTAAAGAAACGAGCATTGCAAGAAATATGGTTGAACATGTTTTTTTATCGTAGATTTCAATTTCTACTACTGTATAGATTACAAACAAAATTTATAAATATGACTTTGAAGGCCAAATAACAATTACGTATTACACAGAGATAAGTATTTTTATATTTCCGCATGTCGAATGTCTTATTATTTCAAATCTAGATTATCAAATCGAGATTAAAATCGTAATAACTGCATACTTTCAGGAAATAAATTTTATATGTTCCATATTCTATTCAGAATATATATATTCAGAATAATATAAATATAATCTCTTAACTTCAAACCTTAATTTTATTAGTTCGAATAAATTAATTGTTTCATTGAAATACCGGCTCTACTAATTGCACATTTCCTTTACAGCTCACGTATTCTATCGTATAATACTCAGTTTGTAACTAGTCAATCTACGAAAGATTGTATGTCGAGTAAGTACCTAAACGGAAGAAAACTTTTCTAATACTTCTTTATTATATTGTTTATTAATTCACTGTTAAAAATTAACGCATTCACACGTGGAAATAAAATATGGTTTTTATTACGACTACAGAACAGTGTTTTTAATATTTCTTTGTTATATATAGTACTTTTAAAAATACAACTAGGCATATCTTTTATTAATTAATTATATTAATTTTTAGTAGTAAAAAGAATAAATATTCCAAAAAAGGATGTAATATATCGTTGCGTCCTATTTTATACATATTTCTATATAATATTGATTGTGAATATTAATAAATAAACAAATATATTTGATTAAAGAAATAAAAATTAAAGAATATTCATAATATTCAAAATTGCAAAAATTATGCACATAACTAATGTCACATATTTCAGTTTTCTAATTAAAATAATTTGATTCAAATATTTTGATAAGTACCTATTAAAATCATAATGAAATTTTCACTATGTGTATGGAAATATTTTACCGATGCATTTAGTATAGTAGTGTTTTTATTATTTATTATTAATATTATCTGTGTAGAATATTTTCCTTTTATTTGTTATAGAATTGTATTTGTTCTCAGTTATAATCAAATTCATCAATTATAATGTTCAGACAAATAAATTATCAAACAAGAAATATAACTAACACTGCTCTAAACGAAAAATTTTTTAAGCAATTTTTATTTATTTTATGCTCGAATATCCTATAACGTTGCAGACTATCCTCCTAGCATCGTAGGCTCTCCTCTTTATCTGCTTTGCCCAATATTATCGATTTCTCTCCTTTCTTTCGTTCTTTATTCGTCAGGTGAAAAGCCCTGAAATCATACGCATCGTTAGCCAAATGAGATCCTTTCATTTCCATCAGTTCTACAAATGGAAATGATAGAACCCCTTACTGGTACACTTTCGTTCAACTGTTTTGCAGAGCGTTTCTTGTAATTATCAAAGTGACGATCATCGTTAATTGTATGTTTTACCTGTAGATGTTTCCACTTTTCTAACAGCCTATAGTACTACTTATTGATAAAAATTAAAACTATTATCCCGAATAATTCTCTTTAAGTAGATGAATGCTGTAGACTTATAACTCATACTATGATAATTCATTTCAAACGTCAATAGTAGTTTATGTACTTCGTTACCTGATGAGTTATACTAATTAGTTACCTAATTAGTTAATGCATATTCGGCCTAATCGATGTGTAATTAAATTAGTGTAGTACCATGCGCAAACCCTAAGTATATACACATTACGCAATACACGTACTTATACATAGTTATTGCGCAATGGTAGATTACCAGAAAAATAGCGTAAACCAATACATTGTTTCTATACTGATTAATGTATTTAGAATCACAACAAAAACGTAATCGTTAAAAGAAAACTTTGTATAATTCATGTGTACATGTATGTGTATACAAATGTGTATATGTTACATTAGGATAAGTACTCGTATTGAGTGTTTGAGTGGTTTGACGGGATTTGTTGTGTCCGAGGAAAATAAAACTGAAACAAGAACAGTTGTGTAAAATCCAACAGGAAAAGTTACATGTATATTTTCCCTTAGAAGTAATCATTTGCATATATCTGTACATATGGCAAATATATGGTATGTAATAGGAAAGTACAGAATCTGAACTATAATATAACATATAATTGAATTTGTATATATTAAAGAATGATCTACGATCATACATCGAATGAATAGAAACTGTTTGTACATATATAGTTTAAGAAATGATTTACTGCTGAATTAAATTTCTTTGTATATACTTCATATATTTTAAACCAAATAAGAAGATCATAATGTATAATTCTCGTTTAAATTATTCTAGATTTTAAGAAAACTAATTTTATTTCAAAATTCACTTCTCGTTGCCTGTGTAAATACTAATACTTGTAATCG